CTAGCAATGGACAATTCAAAAATGAAATTAAGAAAAAAATACCATTTATAGTAGTATCACAAAGATTAAAATACATAGGGATGAATTTAACAAAAGAAGCATAAAACTTATGCTCTAAAACCTATAAAAATTATTCAAAAAAATTAAAGGAGACATATATAAATGAATACTTACTGTTTATGATTTTGAAGATTTCATTTTATTAAGATGGCAGTACTCCCCAAATTGATTTACAGATTCAGTGCAATCTCTATAAAGATCTTAGCTGCCTTTTAAAAATTATTTTGAAGAAATGTACATGCTGATCTTAAAATTAATATGGAAAATGCAAGGCACGGAAAATAGCCAAAACAGTCTTGAAAAAGAAGAACAAAGTTGAAGGACTTACACTTGTTAATTTCAGAATTTACCTTCAAAGCCATAGTAATCAAACTGTGGTACTGGCATAGGGATAGACAACAGACATATAGATCAGTGAGAGACAAGACATAAACCCACAGATTTATGGGCAGTTGATTTTCAAAAGGGTGCCAAGACAATTCAGTAAGAAAAGAACAGTCGGCCGGGTGCGGTGGCCCAGGCCTATAATCCCAGCACTTTGGGAGGCCAAGATGGGCAGATCACGAGGTCAGGAGATCGAGACCATCCTGCCTAACGCAGTGAAACCCCGTCTCTACTAAAAAATACAAAAAAACTATCTGGGCGAGGTGGTGGGCACCTGTAGTAGGAGAGGCAGGAGGCTGAGGCAGGAGAATGGCGTAAACCCGGGAGGCAGAGCTTGCAGTGAGCTGAGATCCGGCCACTGCACTCCAGCCTGGGCGACAGAGCGAGACTCCGTCTCAAAAAAAAAAAAAAAAGAACAGTCTTTTCAACAAATGTTTGGACAATTGAATAACCACTTACAGAAGCTGAACTACCTCACACCATATTTTAACATATCTAATCTGATCAAAGACCAAATGTAGGTCTAAAAAACTCTTAGAATAAAACACAGGCATGAGTCTTCATGACCGTTGGTCAGTCAGTAGTTTCCCCTGTATGACACCTAAAGCACAAGCAGCCAGAGACCAAATAGATATGTTGGATTCCATCAAAATTAAAAACCTTTTGTGCTTCAGGCCAGGTGCAGTGGTTCATGCCTGTAATCCCAGCACTTTGGGAGGCCCAGGCGGGCAGATGACTTGAGGCTAGTTCGAGACCAGCCCGGCCAACGTTGCAAAACCCTACCCCTACTAAAAATACAAAAATTAGCCATGCGTGATGGTATGTGCTTGTGGTCCTAGCTACTCAGGAGGCTGAGGCAGGAGGATCACTTGAACCGGGGAGGTGGAGGTAGAGGTTGCAGTGAACCAGGATTACACCGCTGCAAAAGAACATTATTAAGAAAGTTAAGAGATAAGTCATAGAATGTGAGAAAATGCTTGCAAATTATATGTTGATAAGGTTCTTACATCTAAAATATATGTTGAACAAAGTTACAACAAATTTAGTTCAATTTAGATCGAATAGGCTTTTATTTGCAATTCATGAATTGGGGCAGCATCCCATTCTACAAAATAGGTAAGAATTTCCACAGGGCATGACAGAACAGTGGGTTCTGTAAAGTAGGAACAAAAAACCCAGAAACAATAGAAAAAAGTGGGGCTCTCAGCCGCTGAGGTGGCAGGAGGAGTGGCAACAGCCAGGTAGCCCGGCTCCATAGAGGCTGGCACACCAGGGCTTGTAAGCACTGAGCACCGGACAGGCGCCTTTCCTGCTGACAAGAAGCCCAACTGGAAGGTGAGTCCAGCAGAAGGGGAAGTGAAGGAAGAGCCCAAGAGGAGATTCGTGCAATTGTCATCTAAACCTGCTCCTACAAAAGCAGAAATGAAGCCAAAAAAGGCGGTCATGAAAGGATAAATCTTCAGACACAAAAGGGAAACCAAAGGCAAAAGGGGAGCAAAAGGAAAATTGGCCAAAGTGGCTAACCAAGAAACTGAAGAAGACTTACCTGCAGAAAACGAAGAAACTAAAACCCAGGAGAGTCCTGCCTTCGATGAAGGCTGAGGGAAAGAAGCCAAGTCTGGCGATAAAATGAGTTTGGGTAAAAAAAAAATAGCCAAGTCCGATTAATATCATCTACTGTGTTTTAGTAGTCCCCGTCTCCCTCCTTATACAATCCAGAGGAATATTTTTATCAACTATCTTGTAAATGCAAGTTTTTTAGTCACTCAGGGAACATTTTTAAGAAGGAGGGAATCCCACCTCATCCTATTTTTTAAGTGTAAATGCTTTAAGAGGTGAAATCATTCGCTGGTTGTTTATTTTTTGGTACAACCAGAAAATAGTGTGGAATATTGAATTATGGGAGGCTTTGACTGTCTTGAGTGTCAGCTTAACATTCCGTAGATAGGGGGTTAGTTCTTATATCCTCTAATACTAAGCATACTAAATGACAATATGGAGTCACGGTCCTGCATTTAATGTCTTGAAGATTTTAAATTACTTCCATTCCCGTGTTCTTTTTTAGTAGAATTGTTTCCTTATAAAAACCACTGTTTGATCATGGCTTTCCCCGTCAGAATTGTGTGCACTCTGTGACACCTTTGGTTATGGTAGTCCTATATTTTCCTAATAACATTGTTAGTGTGTTGTGAAAGATTGAAAATTAGAGTATGTAGTGTATATGGTATTAAATTGTGAGTTGCTGGGATGTATTTAACAGCTTATCAACATGTGAAGATACTGGTACTTGATCGCCTCTTAAGTAAAATTTCCCTCCAAATTTAAGCTGGAAAGTCCCTGGAATAACCTCTAAAAGTACATGGTGGCTGGGTGCGGTGGCTAATGCCTGTAATCCCAGTACTTTGGGAGGCCGAGGCAGGCAGATCACCTGAGTTCAGGAGTTTAAGACCAGCCTGGCCAACATGGCAAAACCCTGTCTCTACTAAAAATACAAAAATTAGCCGGACGTGGTTGTGGGCGCCTGTAATCCCAGCTACTCAGGAGGCTGAGGCAGGAGAATCGCTTGAACTCAGGAGGCAGAGGTTGCAGTGAGCCAAGATGGCACCAGTGCACTCCAGCCTGGATGACAAGAGCAAAACTCCATCTGTGGGGGGTGGGGTGGGAAAAACATGACATTTTAGATTTTTGGTACTTATATTAAAAATGTTTGCAAATTGAAATGTGTGTGTACTGATTTTCAACACAACAATAAAATCTCAATTATGAAAGAATATTTCGAAGAAAAAAGAAAAAAGCAGATTGGAGTTGAGCACAGTAGCATGTGCCTATAGTCTCAACTACTCTGAGACTAAGCAGGATCAAGACAAGAGGATCATTTGAGCCCAGGAGTCCAACATGGGCAACATAAGAAGACCCTAACCACTTTAATTAAAAAAAAAAAAAAGAAAAGAAAAGAAAGAAAGAAAAAAGAAAGAGGATTGGTTAACATCAGTTTACTTCAGGTAACTTATGAAGGTAAAAGCAGAGAGGCTTTTCTTATTACTCAGACTCAGGTTGACTGGACCCTTTCCGATTGGTTGTTGTGCATCTCTTGTTTTCAGGAAAAATTGCTCAGTTGGGAAAATCTACCTATTTCCTCAAAGTTTCATTTTGATCATGTGGCACTTAGCATGAGTGACTATTTTTATTTTGTCTGGTCTGTTGGGGCCTACTGCAGGAGCTCTGTTCAAAACAGTAGCCTCCTGTAAAAGTTGAGTAACATATGTAAATAACTGTTACAATTCAATAATAAACAGACAAATAACCAAATTTTTTAAAAGGGAAAGGATTTAAGTAGACATTCCTTAAAATAAGAGGCCAATAAGCATATGAAAAAAATGCTCAACATCGTTAGTCATTATGGACTAGTCAGAACCACTGTGAGAAATCACTTCATACCCATTAAGATGATTGTAATAAAAAAGACAGATAATAACAGTTATTGGTGAGTTTGTGGAGAAATTGAAACCCCCATACATTGCTGGTGGGAATGTAAAATGGTGCAGCCACTGTGGAAAACAGTCCGGCAATTCTTTAAAAAGTTTAAAACTTTTGGGCTTCAAAGGCATTATCAAGAAAGTGAAAAGACAACTCAGAAAATGGGGGGAAATATTTACAAATCATGTCTAATAAGGGACTTTTACATCCAGTTTATAAAGAATGCTTCCAACTCAACAATAAAAGGGCAATCCTTTTGTTGTTGTTGTTATTGTTGAGACAGCGTGTTGCCCTGTCCCCCCAGGCTGGAGTGCAGTTTTGTGGTCATGGCTTACTGCAGCCTTGATCTCCTGGACTCAAGTGATCTTCCTACCTCATCCTCCTGAGGTGGCCTCCTGGTGGCCTCATACCACCATGCCTGGCTTAATTTTTTTTTTGTTTTTTTAATTTTTATACAGACAGGATCTTGCTATGTTGCCCAGTCTGGTCTCAAACTCCTCAGTTCAAGCTGTTCTCCCACCTTGGCCTCCCAAAGTGCTGAAATTAGAGGCATGAACCACCAGGCCCCGCTATGCCACCCAATTTTTTAAAATGGGAAAGTAAAAAAAAATAATAATAATTACTTTATGATCCAGAAATTCTGCTGCTAGGTATATAATGAAGAGAATTGAAGACATATATTCACATTAAAACATGTACACAAATGTTCAGATTAATTTGGCCAAATAATGGAAACAGCCCAATTGTCCATCAACTAGCGACTGATGAGTAGATAAACAAAATGTGGTAGACCCATATAATGGAGTATTATTCAGCCGTAAGAAGGAATGGAGTATTGATTCATGGTACAACATGGATGAATCTTGAAAACATCACGTGAAGTGAAAGAAGTCATACAAGGCTACACATTGTACGAGCCCATTTATATAAATTCTCCAGAATATGCAAATCCATAGAGTCAGAAAGTAGATTAATGGTTGCCAGGAGCTGGAAGGAAGGGGAATGGGGAGTGACCTCTAATAGGTATGAGGTTTCTTTTTGGTATGATGAAAATATTCTGAAACTGGATAGTCATGATGGTTGCACAACTTTGTGAATGCACTAAAAACTACTGAATTGTACACTTCAAACAGACATATATTATGGTATGTGGATTACATTTTGACTTAAAATATATTTCCTAGATTTAGATTTACTACTTTATTCTTTTTTGCTCCTGGAAATTTAAAGCCTTGTTTCCTTTTCCCCTCATCCCCCACAACCCATTTTTGTTGCTCAGCAATCCCTCTCGGTGATACCTCCAAAATATATTGAGTCTTCTTTTATTTTCTATCAGCTCAGTAGTCCTGGACACTGTCATTCCTTGTCTGTATAGCTGTACTAGGTACCTCATTGATCCTCCTGCTTCCAGTCTTGGCTCACTCCACCCCCACACCTCCCATTAATTTATTCTCCAAAAAAATAGCCAGAAAATTGTTCTTAAATTAAATGTATCATGGCTTTTCCCTGCTCAAAACACTTCAATAAAATCCAGACCCCCAAGTGACCTAAAATGTCTGTATGATCTGGCATGTACCTGCCTCTCTACTTTAATCTCCTACCAAGATCGCACCGTTACTAATCTCATGTCACAATTGGCCTTTCTCTGCTTGAACTCAGCAAAGTCTTTCATGCTCTAGGGCTTTTGCACATGTAGATCCCTTTGCTTAGAACACACTTTCCTACTGCCCCTGTCATAGCTGCCTTCAATCTTCCTTAAAGTCATCCCCTCAAATAGACCTGTGACCATTGTAACTGAAAAAGGAAACCCTTGCTCTGCTTTCTCCATCTGAGCCCTAATATTTATTTTCTTAATAGCACTTATTGCAGCTGGTGGAGTTTTCATTTTATTGCTTGTTTACTCTTCTCTCTTTAAATCTGTTTTTCCTCACTAGACCTTCAGACAGGGGCCATATTATTATAGATCATGATTTTTTCCCTAGTGTCTAATGCAGCCCGTGTCACTTCGTAATGTTCAATACATACTTATTAAATGACCAACTGAATGAATTAGAGTATTTTGCAAATAATCCTGGGATATTTAACCTTTCTTACTCAGTGTAGCATTTTAAGATAGATATTCCTTCATTTGATAGATATTCCTTCTTCCACAAATGTACTTCTAAGAGTTAAATAAGATTGGCCCCAAAATTATCCTTCAAGAAACTCAACTATTGACATTTTATCTCTCTGAAAAAATTCCACATTTATGTTTTACTATTTTCATTACTGTTAAGTTTTTCTTGTTCTCAATGCAGAGTGATGGCTGTTTTAGTACTTCAGGTGGAATTCGTCCTTTTCATCTTCAAAACTGGAAGCAGAAAGTTAATCAGACTAAGAAAGCAGAATTCGTACGCACAGCAGAAAAATTTAAGAATCAGTAAGTATAAGAATATTATCTTCAAATAACATCACTAGCCATTTTATAATGGACAATAAAAAATTAATTCTACCCTACCTAGTCTCACATTAAGTTATAAAATTGTAATCACTAGCCTGTCAAATATAACAAGAGAAAGATGGGAGGTATGAAATGGACAAATAATAGGCTCTTTAATATAAAGTTAATTGTAAGTAGAGTAATTTCAGTTTTATTTTTACAATTTTGAATCTGTGTATTTCAAGGGAAATAAAATAGCTGTTTCTTTAGATTTTGTATAACAAATAACAGACAATCTATTTTCACTTTATAACTAAATGCCTGGTAAATGTTTTTGAGGAAGTGAATAGTTTTTGTGTTTTTTTATTATATATGTATGAAAGTGTTTTATAAATGACAAACATCATATATTTAAATTGTCCTTCTTCCATTTTACAAATGAGGATGTTGAGGATCATAGAGGATAAACATCTTTCCATAGGTTACATGCTTAATAAATAGTGTCTGAGGGACTCCTAGGCTGGCTCCAGCCACTCTGAAAGCCATCATTCTTACTAACCAGTGCTGTTCACCAGCAAGCCTATTTGAATATGTGGGTGTGATCTCACTAAGGAAGACAGTGAATCATTTTAATGAAAAGTCAGTACTCTTAATTTTTTTTTTTTTTCAGTGCATTTTTAATTGATCTCACTTCCTTGGTTTCTGCCCCTTTCAGATCCATTCTGCCCTTTATGACCAAGCTATTTGAGAAGCTTCCATTTAAAATTTTCAATATATATGAACTTCTTCTTTAAACAACCAGTGATATTTATTGAATGTTCAATGTTGTCAGCAGTACCAGCATATGATAAATATGAGGAATGTTAAAAAAAAATTGGAACTCAAGGCACCCCACTCTACCCTACAGTTGAGAGCTTTATCAAAACATTGCTTTGAACCTACATAGTATCAATTTGCCAAAGAACATGAGAAAAGGAGCCTATTATAAGGAATGGTCTCTGGATCAGAATTGGTGGCAGTTCTCTATTTAGAAATTCTACCAATGAAAAAGTGTACTGTTAGAATTTTGAAAAGCTATACCATATTTTAGCTTTTGGAGATTGAATTCTCCTTGCATTTATATAATACTTTTGTCTTTTCCCCCAACTTTATTGAGGTATAACTGACAAATAAAAATTATATATATTTAATGTCTACAGTGTGATGTCTGGATGTACATATACATTGCAGAATGATTACCACAATCAAGCTAATTAACATATTCATCACTTCACACAGTTACCTTATGTGTATGTGAAGAGTTGAGAATATTTAATATCAATGTTCTTAGAAAAGTAAGCTGAGATTTTCATTATGTTAAGCGAAATAAGCCATACACAGAAAGACAGACAATGCATGATCTCATTTATATGTGGAATCTTAAAAAAGTCAAACTCAGAAATAGAGAATAGAGTGGTGATTACCAGAAGTCTGGGGGTGATGAGGTGGGAGTGGGGATAATGGGGAGATGTTGGTCAAAGGGTACAAGTTATAAAATAGAAAAGACCTGGAGACCTAATGTACAGCATGGTGACTATAGTTAATAATAATGTATTGTATACTTGAAGTTGTTAATACCTATATCTTTAGTATTCAGAATTTGAAAAAAATACAATTATTTAAAATTTCCAAAATGCATTACTCTAGATAGAAGTGGATTCTAGGTTAGAGGTTCCGTTTTATGTTTCTTTCTAGATAGGGTAATGTCCACCAAATGGTTAATATCCATAGATACAGCAACCAGTGTGTTTTACAGTTCTGAGTAGGCTTCTTCATCTGTTTTAAGGCATTGGAAAAACTCACTAAAGGAATATTAGAAAAACTCATTGTAAGAGTGTTTCTATCTAACAATTCACATAAACACAAAGGAAAAACCACTATCTATAATATCATTTGGTTTTATTTTTAGAATAGGTAATATATTAACATGGTTCAAAAATCAAAATATATCAAAGGGTACCCAGTGGAAAGTCTCAGTTTTACTCTTGATCCAAGCCACCCAGTTCCTTTCCACTCAGTTAACCCACTAGTTTTGGTTTCTTATGTATCCTTCCACAGATATTTTATGTGTTTATAAAGAAATATAAATATATATTCAGATTTTTCCTTTTTTGTGTAAATGGTAGCATACCGTCCACATTGCTCTGCATCTTTTTTTTTTTTTTTTCTTAAGTGTATATCTTAGATAACAAGGAATTGTAGAATTTGCTAGGCACAATAATGGCATTATAGTTAGGTAAGCCAAATATCTGTACTCTCTCGAGGCACACACAAAAGTTTGTTGGGGTGAAATTGCGTAATGTAATGGATTTACTTGAAAATACTTAAGCTAAGCTAAGCAAAGCAAAGGTAGATGTAATGGATTTACTTGAAAATACTTAAACTAAGCAAAGCAAAGATAGATGGATAGATGAAATGAGAGGTAAAACTGCTGAATCAGGGTGAGATGAAAGGCATATCAGATGATGGGGGTCAATTTACCATTCTGTCGTTTTGAATATGTCTAACATTTTCCTACAAAAACTTTGTTATAAAAAGAGGTTATCTTGGAGAGCTTTTTCTGTCAGTACATAGAACAGAATACCACTGTATCATATTCCAGTGTATAAATGTAATATGATTTATTAACCTGCCCATATTTATGGATGTTTAGGTTATATTCAATCTTTTTTTAATAACAAACAGTGCTGCAATTAATTACCATCCCCACATAGGTCAACATTATTTGTTTTTGAGTATATCTTCAGGATAAATTCCTGAAAGGAAATACTGGGTCAGAGATAAATGAATTTGCAATGTGATAAATATTGCTAAATTGCCCTCCGTAGACAACAGTTCCATCAACAATGTGTGAGAAGACATGTTTTCTCACAGTTTTGTCAACAAAATATATTAAATTTGTGATTTTTTTGCCGATATGATAGGTGTGCAGTGTCACTGTGATAGTTTTAATTTGCGTTTCTTCTATTGAGGAGGTTGAGCATGTTTTCATTTTTGTCAACTTGTCTCCATTAATTAGCATATTTTCAATATCCTTATAGGTTAATATTTCTAATCCCGGAAAATGGAAAGTAAGTTGAGTTTGTCATGAACTGAAAACTGTTGAGTGATATAAAGTTGTAGCATATCCCATGTCCATGGGAGACGTTTCTTTTTATCATAGTAATTTTCCCCATCTGCAACCAGAGCCTAGGTGAACTTCCCAGTCCTCAACACAGGACTCCATATCTGTCCTCAGTCCATTAGAGTTGCCAGGTGGGACTGAAATCTATTTGATATCTTTATCTACCCATTACTTCTTCTCACAAACAATAGAAGTTACCTAAACACACATGCTAAGACATGATCCCCTCAGCCTTTGGAGCAGTGCGGTGGGCTCTGGGGCAGTGTCATCTGTCTACCCCCATGTGTCTTATGAATATTAAATTTTTCTCTATGGGCAGTCAGACGCTGTGGCTCATGCCTGTAATCCCAGCACTTTGGGAGGCCAAGGCGGGAAAATTACTTGAGGTCAGGAGTTTGAGACTAGCCTGGCCAACATGGTGAAACTCTGTCTCCACGAAAAATACAAAAATTAGCCAGGCATGGTGGTGGGTGCCTTTAGTCCCAGCTACTCAGGAGGCTGAGGCAGTGGAATTGCTTGAACCAGGGAGGCGGAGGTTACAGTGAGCTGAGATCGCATCACTGCACTCCAGCCTGGGTAACAGAGCGAGACTCCATCTCAAAAAAAATTATCTATGTGTGGCAAAGTGGAAAAGATTGGGAAACTGGTATAGTTGCCTCTCAGGTTGTGTGAATTAAGTCAATGGCCAGAGATGCTCCACCACTTATTAAATCCAAGATTAGTGGAGAAATATTCACATTAATTTCCACCTTGTGGGAGAAAGAAACACGTTAAGAAAATTAATTTTTTCTGGGCATGATGGCTCACGCACTTTGGGAGGCTGAGGTGGGCAGATCACTTGAGCTCAGGAGTTCAAGACCAGTTGGGGCAACATGGCAAAACCCTGTTATCTACCAAAAAAAAAAAAAAAAATTAGCAGGGCATGGTGATGCGCCCCTGTAGTCCCTGCTACTCGGGAGACTGAGGTTGGAGGGTTGCTTGAGCCAGGGAGGTCAAGGCTGCAGTGAGCTAAGATGGTACCGTGGCACTCCAGCCTGGGTGACAGAGCCAGACCTTGTCTCAAAAAAAAAAAAAAAAAAAATGTAATTTGAAAATTAATTTCTTTGCCCAATCAAAAAAGTTTCTCAGTAGTGCTTTATTTTGTTTTTGTTTTCTCTTAGGGTGCAAACTAACAACGAGAACTTACTGGTAGATAGACTAAATCCAAGGGGCAGAGACGTGCTGAAAGAAGCTCTGAAGTAAATGTAGACAGTAGTCATTAAATACACGAAATTTCCTGTCTTTGTAGATGGTTAGTCTCTTGAAGTTTTAGTTGTATTAATAATATTAATAACTTGCATTTCCATAGTATACTTGTACTGTACAGAGATCTCCCACATATATTATCTCATTTGATGTGAATAATAGACCTATTAGATAGTGGAGAGCTGTTATTATTCACATTTTAGTGATGAGGAGGTTCATACTGGGAGAGGTTAACCATCTCGGCTGAGGTTACAAAATTAATAGCATCTACTATTGAAAGCAGTCATCAGCAGTAATGGCCATTTTCAGGCTCCAGTGAGATTGAGTTTGAATCAATAATCAAAAGCTTATGCATTTTCAAGGCAAATGTATATCCACATTTTCTTAAATTATCATTTTATGATTGAAATAGCAGTTCAAATTATAGCTGTTTTTGATTGAAATTAACTCTTCCAGCAATTATTTTGACTAATGTTTTGACTCCTTAGCCATATTAACCAAAGTAATTATTTTTTTTCTATACATGAATTAATCCAAATGTAAAATACTGATTATCAAGTGTCTTCATATTTTAAGCTATTAAAAATATATTTAAATCATATTTATACTATTTGTTTCTTTTCCTAAAGAGTAATTAACATGGAAAAAGATAAACACAGTCATTTCTACAACCAAAAAAGTGACTTCAGAATTGAGCATAGTATGCTAGAAGAATTGGAAAATAAATTAATTAACAGCAGGAAAACAGAAAGTAAGTTGAGTTTCTGATGAACTAAAAACTGTTAAGCGATATAAAGTTGTAGTTTTACCCTGTGCTTTGTCTTTGTGCATTGACTGTGTTGTGTTCTCTATAGAGTCAGTTCTGTATTAACTGTGTTATATTCTCTATATTTTATTTGGTAAAATTTGTCTTTTAGGGACATGTGTTTATTCTTTCACGTCACTATTTAGTCATACTAACTGGATTGTTTTCTGTTGTATATTTCTTCAAATTTAACAAGAAAAAGAGGATTTGGGGGATATTTTTGGTTGACAAACCAGCAAATGCTATTATAATTTTTTAAAAGCAGAATGATTTCTGGGCTATCTGATGATAGCTCATTACCCTGGCATTGTTGACTGAGCCCTGGATTCAGTAAGCATCAACAGATTCAAAGCTATAATTAGTAGTTGTATGAAGTGATCAAGTCAAATAATTGCATAAACCTGAGTTTCCTTGTCTACATTCTAAAACCTGTACCTCAGGAGAGCCGTACTGTGCATCTGATGAGATAATATATAAAAATGCACCTTATAGATAGATTGTACATGACTATGTTCTTTTGTTTGTTATGAATATTAATCATTGTCAATAGTGTACTAAATGTTACCTTTAAAGAATTCTGAGAATACTTGTTTCATTGTAGTGTTAGATTCTGTATGTTGTAAAATCTTCATAATAAAAAAGCTGCTTAGCATTTCTTAAAGGAAAAATAATGGTTATCAAATAAGTAAGCTTACAAAATATTAAGACACTGTGAAGAGATGAGACTGCTCATGATACTCCCTTATCATCAATTAAAATAAATTCCTAGTGATTTTTTTCTTTCAGAATATAAGGTTACACCATTTTTTAAAAGAAAATATTACACTACTTTAAAAAGTTATCCTTTGTCAAGCAGTGGCAGGAGTAATTTTCCTTCTTTTATTGGAATGACAGCAGGACCTAATATAAACACCAGATTTCTAGTTATCTCTTCTCTTTGATACATTGAAAAACCTAGACACCCCTGATTCAATATTTCTTTATTTCCCTCAGTTATTTTGTAGACAACCGGGAGGCTGATTTTTCTATGTCTCAGTAATGCCAATAAGTAAAATTTTGTGCAAATTTTAGTTCACTTGATTTTCCCTTTATTATGGCAACTTGATTTGTACCAATCTATTTCCCTTTGTTCTACAGTTTTGCTCTTATTTAGTAACACTTTATGTTTTTCCTGTCTAGGAGAGTAAAGAATGCTTGTCTTAGTATAAAGGTAGAGAAGTTTTCCCTTCATATATTACAGCTAAGCAGTAGAAATTCCTATTCCTTACCTCAAATATCATGCCGCAATTTTAGCCTGCATTTATGTCATACTGTACTTAAATGATTTGTCTATATATCCAAATGAATAAATAAAATAAAAAGATTATCAGCCCTGTAGTGATATTTTGGTAGCTGATCAAACTAAAGCTAAAATAAAACAATAAAAAACACTTTCCTAAGTACTCGAGAAGTTTCTTGACCTAAAGTTCAACAGTAAGACCCTACAAAGCAAATTACAAAAAGTTTCTGCCTTTATGGAATTCTTGAATTTTAATGAAAAACACGGAACAAGCCAAAGTTGTCATATACATATTAAGAGGTTTATTTTGGATATTCACACTGACTGCAAACCTATACGTAAACTTTTTCTTAAAAAATAATTACTTTTAAGGACTTTTGTACAGAGCCTTTGATGCTTCTTGCTCATTTGTGGAAAAGTTGCAAAAACAAAAAAGAGGAGGGTGCATAAAGTACCTTAAGATGATAAAATAATAATATTACTATTATAGGAATGTGAATGTTTTGACATTAGCCTAGTAATTTAGTAAATATTAAAGTAAGATTAATGCTTCAGAAAAGAAAATATGAAAGAAGAATCCTTCATGCTGATAAAGATGATTTGAAAACATCGTTGAGACTCTCACTTACTTTTTAGGCTTTATTGTGGGCCTAATATTTTACTCCAGGCTGGTCCTTTGGTTGAGCTTGGCAACCTGTGGCACAGTATACCACTGAATGATACCCGAGGCACCTCCTCAGGGCCGTGACAGTGATATCAATGAATATCACCTGCCCCTTTCCTAGAGGATTTGGTGGGATGAAATTAATTCTCAATGGGAAATTTCTCAGTATTCACAGAATTAGATAGTTTTAATATTCCCACAATACAGTTAACATGAAATTCTATTTCCATAAATTATAACAAATTAAAAAGAAACGAAACACTATTAAAGAAGAAAACAATGCTGAAACTGCTAATATTTACATCTAAAACAATGTCCAATAACTCAGTCTACACAGAGGGAGAGAAAAAGACATTTCCTTAGCACAGGTTATAGTAAGACTTAACCCATTATGCTTTTCAATATTGGAAGATATTGAAAAATGCTTTATTTACAGCAAAGGTACTTAAAGTATTAATGTTTTGACATAAATAACTATTTTTTGTTCTTTATTTAATTGCTCTAGGCTTTTACTAACAGTGATCAGTCTTACATGTAGAATCCTGAATTATAACCACATTTGTCACAGAATTATTTTCAAGGGCATACTTCTTCCTTATAGGAGCAAAAATCCAGCAACAATTGGCCAAAATACATAACAATGTAAAGAAACTGCAGCATCAGTTAAAAGATGTGAAGCCTACACCTGATTGTAAGTGAATTTAAATATAATCTTTCTTACGTGTTAGTATTTTCTATTTGGCATTAATGGAGCTCTACTTTATTGGTTAGGACTTAATAAATTTATTAATGGAGCTAAACTCTATCAGTTAGGCTTTAGTAAGTTTGCAGTGGAGAACTATAATTGGGCATTTCTGTGTGTATCCGTTAAAGTATTATCAAATCCTTACAAATTATAAGGTAGGCAGAACACATACTAGTGTCATTTACAGGACTGGGAAATCTGTGTTATAGAAAGGTTTAAAAACAGCTAATTAAGGGGAAAAAAAGATTGATTTCCTTAATCCTATCCAGTGTTTTCCCTTCATTGGCTTTTTGAAATAATTATCTTTGAGAGGCATTTCTAATGAATAAGGAAAGGTTAAACAGATTTACGACAAATGCTAGTGTTTAGAAAAAAATCCCACAAATTATATTCCTACCTCCTTGCTTAATGTAACATTCATTCCTGAGAATCAAAGCAATAAATTAAAGGGCTCAGGGTGTATGGACTTAGGAATCAGACAAGTGTTGTGTCAAACCCTTGATCTTTCATTTGTTAGCTATGTAATTTTAGGCAAGTTACTTGATATCTCTGAGATTTCATTTCCTCAGCTCTAAAATGGAGATAATTATGATATGAGTGTATAGGGAAAAAATCTGTAATCAGAAAAAATTGCAATCATAAAAATTCACTTTTGAGCACAGCTTTCTTATGCCTTAGGCTAAGAAATGTTTTAAAATTAGGGGAACATTCCACTTTTTCTTCCTAATATTTAACTTTTAGCCATATAGGAAAATGACACAAAATAATTATCCGTGTTTCTTTTACAGTTGTTGAGAAGCTCAGAGAAATGATGGAAGAAATTGAAAATGCAATTAACACTTTTAAAGAAGAGCAGAGGTTGATGTACGTTTTAAACTCGTTTTAATATAAAATTATTGACTTTTTTTTTAATAACTGGCCCCACTAGGTTTTTGTATATAATGCATTCTGTTGTTATATATTTGAGTCTTACACAAAAGCAATATAATATCTTTCTTGTTTTTGGGTTTAGGTGGCTTTTCATATTTAAAGTGAAATTTTATTCATATTTAGTTACTATAAAATTCCCAAATAAGGATTTGAAAGATTGTTTTTAATCTCTGAGGAGACCCTTTTAAGGCTTAGATTTATAAATGTTAATAATGTTAAGTGGAGAAGATGATATAAAGAGTCAGGTATCTTAAATTTGATGGAAAATGAAGGGTTAATATGGATTGTCTTCTTATTCAAACTTTATTTTTAAAATTTTAGATATGAAGAGCTAATTAAAGAAGAGAAGACAACTAATAATGAGTTGAGTGCCATATCAAGAAAAATTGACACATGGGCTTTGGGTAATTCAGAAACAGAGAAAGCTTTCAGAGCAATCTCAAGCAAAGTTCCTGTAGACAAAGTAACACCAAGTACTCTTCCAGAAGAGGTACTAGATTTTGAAAAATTCCTTCAGCAAACAGGAGGGCGACAAGGTGGCTGGGATGATTATGATCACCAGAACTTTGTAAAGGTGAGAAACAAACATAAAGGGAAGCCAACATTTATGGAAGAAGTTCTAGAACACCTTCCTGGAAAAACACAAGATGAAGTTCAACAGCATGAAAAATGGTATCAAAAGTTTCTGGCTCTAGAAGAAAGAAAAAAAGAGGTAATAATTACAATAGCTATTATTCATTCTGTGTTTCTATGTCCTAGGCACTGTACTGAACACTTAACATGTCTCATTAACTTTACAGCAATCCCATGAAGTGTGTTTATAGTTCCCCTCCCCCCACAATCCTAATAGAAGATGCAACTGAGGCATTGAAGTTAAGTAATTTTGGCCAGGCACAGTGACTTACACCTGTAATCCCAGCACTTTGTGAGGTTAAGGCGGATGGATCGCTTGAGCTCAGGAGATCGAGACCAGCCTGGGCAACATGGCAAAGCCCCGTCTCTACAAAAAATACAAAAAAATTAGCTGGGCATGGTGGGACCTGTGGTCCCAGCTACTTGGGAAGTGGAGGTGGGAGGATTGCTTGAGCCTAGGAGGTTGAGGCTACAGTGAGCTGTGATTGCACCATTGCACTCTAGCCTGAGCGGGACCTAGTCTCAAGAAAAAATAAAAATGAAAAAAGAAAGTTATTTTACCCATTTAATAGAACGACATTTGCACTTCCTCATAGCCAAATATGTCTCCCTCACAAACAACACAATGGGACAAAAAGCCTCTGATTATGGGTCCAATCCTCTGTATCCACTTCTCAGAAATGTGAGCAATCCAGATCCACTGAGACTTTTGAAAAAAGTCATCTTACCAGCAAAGGCCACATTGTTTTTATGGAAATATCAAGAGGCAGTAGAAAAAATGCTTTGACTATTAAACATTTCTTTGAGATTTTTAAACTTCAACCATATTGTTTATTTTAAAGACTCAAAATGTTAGCTACCCCAGAAAATAAAACAACACGTGATTGTGGCAGATACCTAAAAATGTCCATTTTTACAAAACTATTACTCTGGCTTTGCATTAGATCAATATTTCTTAACCTTGATACTATTGACATTTGGAGCTAGATAATTCTTTGTTGTGGGGGCCTGTTCTGTGCATTATAGGATGGCATCCCTGGTTTCCAGTGAGTAGATGCTTATAATATCTCCTTAACTGTGATTACCAAATATGTCTCTAGCCAGATATCCACTGGAGGGGAGAAATAGCCCCTAGTTGAGAACCACAGTAAATCAGAGTCTTTTTTTTTTTTTTTTTTGTAGAGTTCAGTGGTGATGAAGTTTGACTTACCTGGTTTAATAAAAAAATTGTGTTTATTCCATAGATGGCATACCTAAGGAGTATTAAAGAAATAATTGAGTCCATGTTTAGTCTAAAGTTTTAGAGGGAGTAGCTGCATTTTTGTTGTTCTTGTCATTCCCTTCCCTCCCTCCAGCAATAAATCGAATGTAGGGAAATTGACTTTTCAGGTTTTAAGAAAAATGTTTGAAACATAAGTCATTTGGGCTTTTTTCCCCAGGATACTGAAAACATGGGATTCTCAAAGTGGTCCCTAGTCCAGCAAAATCAGCATCACCTGGGACCTTATTAGAACTTAGCAGGCTCCAACTCCAGACCTGATGAGAACTGTGAGGGTAGGGCCCAGAAATCTATGCTTTACCAAGTCCTCTAGTTTATTCTGCTAATGAAAACCACCTCTTTAGGAAACAGAAACAGACACACTGCTTCTTGTGATAAAAGTAAACCCCTCGGATTCTAGCTTATTCTCCTTGTTCCCATCTGCTCTATTTCCTGGTATTTGATGACTGATATGTCATCAGTTTGATAGGATATGAGCAGGATGTAGGGGTGAGATAGAAGGGTTTGTGAAAGTGGAGGTGCCATTTACTGAAGTAGGGCATGTTGGAGGAAGAAAGGGAAGTTTGGAGGAAAATATCAGGAGTTCAGTTTTAAATCTAGGGAGTTTTAAGATGTTGAGTAGGAAATTTACCATTTTTATCTCCCACTTCCTTTAATATATCATGTGTTGTTAATAAGTGAAGATATTATACTGACATTTTCAGACATGCGCTGAACTTTCTGGCCTGAATGCCCTTGCTTATCTTGTTCTCACTTTCTGGAACCTCCATTCTTTCTTTCCCCCTCCAATCCCAGCTTATCAAAATTGGCCCAGATCGGATGTTGCCTCCTCCTTGCCCACCCAAACATAAGTAGCTTCCCTCAGGATTTCACTAACACTTACACCTTTTATATGATGTGTCGTGGTATGCCCATGTTGAATTTCATCTAGAACAGTGCTGCTCAGACTTGGTCCATGGACTAAATATGGGTTTGCAAACTGTTACTGGTTTACAGTGGGATAAAATGGTTGCACCAGAATTAACTATGCAGTGAACACTGTTTAGTTCAGTTGGCTTTTTTTTTTCCATAGAAAATTTTCACATTGGAAGAAGCAGTGCATTGATTTGCCTTTTGACACAAATTCCTGATATTTTTGCAGACTGGTATTTTGAGTAGCACTGTACTAGATGGCATTTGGTGTAGCTTTAATATTGTTTCATTGTTCCTATCACATTGCCTTGTATATAGTATATATACATACCATAAGGATTTATTAAGTAGAATGAATGATACACCATAAGGAAAGATGAGGAAATAGTTTCTTGACTTGGAATATGCCCTAAATGGCATGGAGAAGCCTGCTAGAATTTGAAATAATTTTTACATATCCATATGTAAAGACAGCTCTGTAGCTATTGTGCTGTTTTATTTATTTATTTATACATACCTAGGAAGCACCATGTGCCAGATGCTAACTCATTTAATCTTTGTAACAACACTGTTTAAGAAATACTACCTACCAGGTAGATGAGCAAAATGAGGACAGAGAAGTTTAGTGGCTCATCCAACGCTACACCTAGTAAATGGCAAAGCCAGGATTTGGCCCCAAATCCTTTGGTCCCAGCACTCATGTTCTTAACCACCCTACTCTTAATTCTTCTTCTGATATTTGACCAGATAAAGATCACTTAGAAAGTATTCTAAGCCTAGAAAGAGAATTTGGAAGCAGAAATGAGATGATTAGAGGAAAGGGATGTTGCCCATGAAAATAAAAGAAGCAGGTAGGCCCGGCGCGGTGGCTCACACCTGTAATCCCAGCAATTTGGGAGGCCAAGGTGGGTGAATCATCTGAGGTCAGGAGTTCAAGACCAGCCTGGCCAACATGATGAAACACCATCTGTACTAAAAATACAACAAAATTAGCCGGACATGGTGGCTGGGGCCTATAATCCTGGCTTCTTGGGAGGCTGAGACGGGAGAATCTCTTGAACCTGGGAGGCAGAGGTTGCAGTGAGCTGAGATTGTGCGACTGCACTCCAGCCTGCGCAAGAGCGAAACTCCGTCTCCAAAAAAAAAAAAAAAAAGGTAAAGAGCAGAAGGATAGTTCATGAGTTGTTGTCCTTGTGAACCTGGTGACTAAGAGAGAAAGAGGAAGGCCAAAAGGATAACCCATTATTCACAGTTTTAAGAGACAGTAATTTTTAAAAAACAGAAGTAGAAAAAAATTGCATTGGTTAAAAACAAAACAAAGCTGAAAAACCTAAGCATCCAGCATCCTGCAATCAATATTTTTTCTAGAAAGATGGAATCGATGTCTTTGAAAATACTTTTGGCTGTTAAAAAACTTTTTTCTTTTGCTTTCTTTTTTTAAAAAAATCATTTAGTCGATTCAGAGTTGGAAAACTAAAAAGCAGCAAAAAAGGGAGGAAATTTTCAAGTTAAACGAAAAGGCAAACAACACACCTATGCTTTTTCATAACAAACAAGAGGATAATCAAAAGCAAAAAGAAGAACAAAGAAAGAAACAGAAATTGGCAGTTGAAGCTTGGAAGAAACAGAAAAGTATAGAAATGTCAATGAAATATGCTTCCCACTTAAAAGAAGAGGAAGAGAAAGAGAAAAAACGTCAGAAAGAACGCCAGCGCCAGTTTAAGTTAAAATTACTACTAGAAAGTTATACCCAGCAGAAGAAAGAACAGGAAGAATTTTTGAGGCTTGAAAAGGAGATAAGGGAAAAGGCAGAAAAGGCAGAAAAAAGGAAAACTGCTGCTGATGAAATTTCCAGATTTCAAGAAAGAGTGAGTAAATCTATTTCCTAAATAATTTTTAAATGCTACACATGGAGGTATTACTTCCAAATTCAGTTCAGCAAAAATTGAGTACTTATATATTGAACCTGTATATAGCATTAGTATACCAAAATGAGTAAGCCGTGCTCCCTAATTTCTAGTAGGTTATAGTCTAGTGGGAAAGATATGTGGAAGTAGGAGATTCCAGCATAATGTGTTAAAGAGTGTGGTGATTGAGGTATGGACAGAGTACTTAGGAGGGAGTATAGGGAGGGACACTACCACAGCTATGAGTGGCAGAGAAAAGGTAATACTTAGGTTGACTCTTGAAGGGAAGGAAAGATGAGGTCCTTCATAGCAGAGGCAACAGCATGAATAGCAGCTTGAAGGAGTGAAACAGTATGGTTTGTGATGGAAACTATTAACACTTCAATATTCTTAAGGCATTAGGCAGGAGAGGGGAACCAACAGATGATGAGACTAGAAAGGTAGCCATAGGCAAGGCTGAGTGATTTGTCTTCTTTGCCAAATTGCCCGGCTTTACCATATTGATGACTTGCTTATTTGTTCATTTACCCACCATAATGTAGGCTACATGAGGGCATTAGTGGTGTGTTTGCGTTAGTGGTGTGTTTTTTTGAGCATCCCTGTACCCTAGAGTTAGGTGCATTGTAGATACTTGTCTATTTAAAGGAATCGAGATTATTGCTGGGTGGTCAAATTAAAGGTGATTTTAGACAAACATATACAAGAAAAATGCTAATAAAGATGCACTGGCAGAATTCATTCCAAAAAGCATTAAGACAAGGAAGAGGACTTTAAAAATGAAAAAGCATGCAAATGAGATATAACTTATGAATTGTTATGTGCATCAAAATATATAGCAGCAACGTTTGTAAAGCAAAAACTAAGGGAGGTATAAAGAAAAATAACAGACAAAAATACAGACAAAGCACATTAATACTGAAAATTTTAGTTCATTTATTTTAAAAATCTTCCTAAGTAACAAAAGTTCCCATTCCTTCTCATACACCCCCAAAATAAGCAGGACATGTAATAAAAGAAAAAATAAAACCCACAAAACAGAAAATATAAAATAATAAGAGAGATCTGAAATCAGACATACTTGCATTGATGAATGAAAATGGGCTTAACTCACTTATTAAAAGAGAGTTTTAGGTTGAACCTTAAAGTAAAACAAGAGATGCCTAAAATAAAGTAATACAGAAAGGATGTGCATGTGTTAACGTTTATATTCAGAGCAAATAAAGCTCTTAGCCTTTGTTGGAAAGAGTTAATAATGAAGGAATATTGATAGGTAAGGTAATTTAATTTTACTTGTGAACAACTAAATTTTGAACAAATTCTAGTTCAAATGATATCTTAATGCTATGGGTTTTTTTTTTTTTAAGGATTTACATAAACTTGAATTGAAAATTCTAGATAGACAGGCAAAGGAAGATGAAAAGGCACAAAAACAAAGAAGACTGGCAAAATTAAAAGAAAAGGTACTCTGCACTGAGATTATTTTTATTGTTATTATCCTATTTCCTTGATTTGTAAGGATACTGACATCAAATCTATTTCCTTTATATCTCATCTTATTTCTATAACATCTACTTTAAATTTCATACTTATTTACATAGTAGCAAGCATAACTTGGTACAATTTAAGCAACCATTATTTGAATTCTGTCATTTTACCTTATGAGCACCGTTTTCTTTCACTCTGAATTATTGTTCCTCCTACTTGTCATTTAAAAAATTTTTTCTATATGAACCTCTATTTTAGATAATGGCAGCTATGAGCATTGCCTAATCTCTTGTAGTACTCAGAGCTGAAGATGTTGGTGACCCTCACCGATAAAACAGAAGACTTATTGGTAGTTACTTATCCTAAATTTGTTGTCTGGCTATATCACTAGCATACTTAGCTGCATTACATTTCTCTCATAATAGAAATAGAAAAATAAGAATAGAATAAAATAATAGAACTAAAAGAAATAAACTAACAGTTTATGAATAGATCGATGTAGTCTAAATTTTCCTTTAGCTATATGAGCCCAATGAGAAGTTTACTGAGGTTATTAATAGTTTTATTAGCCAATATTAACTATGTCTTTTAAAACTGCACTAAGCCTTTTACTTACTTACTAGTACAAACTGAGTTTGTATAATTAACTGGTACTATTTTACTTCTGATTACAGGTTGAAAACAATGTTAGTAGAGATCCCTCTAGGCTTTACAAACCCACGAAAGGTTGGGAAGAACGAACCAAAAAGATAGGACCAACAGGCTCTGGGCCACTTCTACATATCCCACATAGGTAAGAAAGAGAATTGGTGTTCATTTAGTAATTTAATTGCTGCATGTTTATATTTTATGCACTTACTGTGTGTAAATTATATTTTTCATATATATATGAAAATATATATATAATGTATAAGTATATATAATATATAAATGTTTTTACCTAAATCTTTTTATATAAATATATAACATATATTTATATATATGTGTATATATAATATATATAAATATACATATTTTTTCATATATATGAAAAAAATATATATACATTTGCCTTTCAGGTCACTTTTATTTAAAAATAAACAGTAGATAAAAGTAAAAGTAGGTCGAGTGCAGTGGCTCACGCCTGTAATCCCAGCACTTTGAGAGGCCAAGGAGGGCGGATCACGAGGTCAGGAGTTTGAGACCAGCCTGGCCAACATAGTGAAACCCTATCTCTACTAAAAATACAAAAAAAATTAGCCGGTCATGGTGGTGTGCACCTGGAGTCCCAGCTACTCAGGAGGCTGAGGCAGGAGAATCACTTGAACTTGGGAGGCAGAGGTTATGGTGAGCCGACATTGTGCCACCTGGGTAACAGAGTGAGGCTCCATCTCAAAAAAATAAATAAATCAATAAAGTACAAGTAGTACCCAATGCCCTATTAGATATTACATTCATGTTAGTAGATGCCATTTTCTGCCTTTTTCACATTAATATTTATTTTTATAAGAAAAGTAGTAGTATTGAAAAAGAATGAATGAAATATTGATAGATTGATAAGTAGATTAACTGATTGGTTTGTCAGTCAATCAGTTTGAGAGCTAGAGCAAGAAATAAAACCTTAATGAGGGTTGTAAACCTACATGCCCATATGAACCAGACAAACAACATGCAGGGTAGGTTATATATATATTTTAAAGTTAGCATTTAATCAGATAGGGTTTTTTTCTTTTTAATTTCCTATATATTTACAATCGCTTTTCTCTTTCTCTCCGTAGGGCTATTCCAACCTGGAGACAAGGAATACAGAGAAGAGTATGAGATAATGAAATTGCTACTCAGTTGATAAGAATGTTAACATACTAAGTTACACCAGGGAGAAAGTGACTAACCATGTTCTTTAAATATAAATAGCCTAGTCAGATTGATTATTGTGCTATATTGTGAATTGAGAGGTATTAAGTTTCATGAGGCTTTGTCATTAGTATTCCTGCTTCTACCACGAAGGTATTTAATATATGTGTTGGCCTATTATTGATGTAAAAGTTATTTAAATAAGTTAATGTTACAAACATTATTTAATTTAAATACTCAAAACATTTCAAAGAGATTTTGTTTTTGTCATAGCATAGCAAAGTAAATTGGAACAATCATACAATGACATTTTTTAAACCAAAATTTTGTAACTTTTGTAACTTGGAGTTAAGTTAGCTTGAGTAACAAAAAGGTAAAGTGGTTTTTGTTTAGAGTTATGAAATGTTAGTACTTTTTCTATGTTTAACAAATTGGCAGTTTGTCAGTTATGACATTTTTGTGTAATAAATATTTTGTATTTGTTTGAAGCATGCTTTGTTTTGTATAGAGAATATTTATTTTAAAAATATGTCTCTCATATACCCTATTAATTGTATTATTGATATAATCTTTTTGGTTTCCTTTAGCAATCCCAAATTTTCCTTCAGCCCTTCTGGATTGCACATATTTATAAAATCTTCGTGTCTTTCACATCTTCCTGGCTAATGCAGTTTTCTTTTCTGCTTCTGTTTGCCTCAAAATAGGAAAATTCTTTGTTCTGAAACATCATCTGAAATAAGCCAGCTTTAGAATACTGTGATTTCTCTTGATAGCACTTAAAATGTTTTAGGTGGGGCATGGTGGCTCATGCCTGTAATCCCAGCACTTTCAGAGGTCAAGGTAGGAGAATTGAGGCCTGGAGTTTGACACTAGCCTGGGCAACACAGGGAGACCCTGTCTCTATGAAAAAAAAAATTTAATTAACTGGGTATGGTGACACACACCTGTAGTCCCAGCTACTTGGGAGGATAAGGTAGGAGGATCACTTGAACTCAGGAATTCCAGGTTGCAGTGAGCTACTATGGCACCACTGCACTCCAGCCTGGGTGAGAGAGTGAGACCCTGTCTCTAAAATGAATGAAGGAAGGAATGAATGAATAAGATCTTTTAAAGCTGTTAGATTAACATATTTGGTCAAAAGAGTTAGTTCTTAAATTTCTAAACTTTTATACATGAAAACACAATGTAATTGAATACAGTTCAACTTTTCATATTATAAAATATTCCTTTCTAACTTTAATTTGTTCTCATAGGAAAGATACTATATACATAAAAACATAGGAAATTTATTCCTTACAATTTTTGTCTTAGATAATCTTTATCTTTCATTGTTAATGTGATGAATTTAGGTTAAATGACTCAGAAATGTACTGAGAGTGATCAAAATCTTTTCTTATTTTATAGTTAATATTCAAAGTAGATGGCTTCCAAATTTTAGAAACTGAATTCTGATTTGTACAGTTATTGGGGCAGAATGAGAAAATTGACCTAAAAGATCCTTAAACAGGAGTGCTGGTTTTGTTACTTGTTTTCCAAAACTTTTTTGTAATCATTTGAAGTCGTTTAGAGATAAAATATAGAGGCTGGGCGCAGTGGCTCAGGCTTGTAATCCCAGCACTTTGGAAGGCCAAGGTGGGCGTATCACGTGAGGTCAGGAATTCAAGACCAGCCTTGCCAACATGGTAAAACACCATCTCTACTGAAAATACAAAAATTAACCTGGTGTGGTAGTTCACACCTGTACTCCCAGCTACTTGAGAGGCTGAGGCAGGAGAATCGCCTGGACCTGGAAGGCGGAGGTTGCAGTCAGCTAAGATTGCGCCACTGTACTCCAGCCTGGGCAACAGAGTGAGACTCCATCTCCAAAAATAAATACATAAATAAAATATAGAGCAAGACAAGGGAATTTAAAAGCAGAACTGAGAAGCTACAAGATACAAAAAACGTTTCTTACGTATTGCTTTTTTACGTGTTGCTTTTTGTTGCACGGAAATGCAGCCTTCAAATTCCTGTATCTAAGGTAAGCATTCTGCATGATGTGATTCTTATGGCTTTGTTTTTTGATTTTTTTTTTTTAATAAAGAAAAGTATGGAAGTTCCTCCGAAGAAATCAGTTTTTCTAGCTGAATCTGAAATAAATGATGAATTTATTATATAGATCCTTTACATAAAAGATGTAAGATAAACACAAATATCTTCAGTTACAGAGTTCATAGAAGTTATAGGTTCATAAACTAGATGTCAAATAAACATTTCTTTTACTGGTTTAAAAAGTACATTAGCTTCTTCTCCGAGAAAACACCAAATCGCGGATGACGCCAGTGCAGCAGGGGGCCTGGGATAGGGAACTGGGGTCGCAGCTGGCCCTGGGATGGGGAACTGGGATCACGGCCATCGAGTGGGTCAGGGCCAGCCACGGAGTTCCCGGAGGCAAGGCCAAGGCCAAGGAGTAGATGCTTGTCATCAAGCTGGGCCGCCTGGTCAAGGACATGAAGATTAAGTCCCTGGAGGCGATCTGTCTCTTCTCCCTACCCATCAAGGAGTCTGTGATCATTGACTTTTTCCTGGGGCCTCTCTCAAGGATGAAGTTTTGAAGACATGCCAGTGCAAAAGCAGACCCGCACCGGCCAATGCACCAGGTTTAAGGTGTTTGTTGCCATCTGGCACAATGGCCACACTGATCTGCGTGTTAAGCTCCAAGGAAGTGGCCACTGCCATCCACGGGGCCATCATCCTGGCCAAGCTCTCCGTTGTGCCCATGTGCAGAGGCTACTGGGGGAACAAGATTGGCAAGCCCCACACCATCCCTTGCAAGGTGACAGGCTGCAACGGCTCTGTGCTGGCCTAGGTCATCCCTGCACCCAGGGGCACTGGCATCATTGGCCCCCATGGCCAAGAAGCTGCTGCTGATGGCTGGTATGGATGACTGCTACACCTCAGTCAAGGGCTGCACTGCCATCCCGCGCAACTTCGCCATGGTCATTTTTGATGCCATCTCTAAGGCCTACAGCAGGCTGACCCCTGACCTCTGGAAGGAGACTGTATTCACCAAGTCTCCCTATCAGGAATTCACTGACCACCTCCTCAAGACCCACACCAGAGTCTCTGTGCAGAGGACCCAGGCTCCAGTGGTGGCTACAACATAGGGTTGTACAAGAAAAATAAAGTGAAGTAAGCCTGGAAAAAAAAAGTACATTAATAAGAAATATAGAAAAAACACTAAAGAAGAAATGTTATAAAGTACTCATAATTCCAGGGTAACTTTTACAAAAAACATACCTACATATTTTTAAATTGTTACAGTCATATAGTACATATTAATTACTATGCCATAATTGCATTACACATTTTCATACATTTCTACGTAATTCAGACATCATCATGTAGTGACTAAATAATATTCAATTATATAGATGTTCTATCATTCCCATTCTGTTATGCATATGCCAAAAATCTTACATGGCTAAAATCACTCATGGAAACCTTTTACCAACCCAGGAGGCATTCTATATTATCTCTCAATGAGTCCCACATCGCAAATTTTTCCTCCAGATTTGGATCAGATTGCTAGCCCTTGAACTGAGAATCAGATGAAATATTTGGCTTCCCTAACTTAAGGGCCATGTTTATTAGAATTAATTTTCTGAGAATGCATAGAGTGTCCATAGCTGATTCCAGTAAGTTAAACGTGTATAAGACTCCACATTGAAAATCTTCAGGTATTTGGGGGTATGTGTGCTAAGTGAGAGATCTTAATTGTAATAACAGTGAAAACTCCAGACTGGGCATACCTGATGGGCAAGGACTGTGAGCCCCGTATTTGTAGGAAAGTACCGAGGACAACCTAGTATCCATCTCTGGCTGTTTGTTAATGCAGTATTTTGTAAAGACATGCAGGAATACCTGTGAATAGGTAGTTAATAGTACCAAAAATTACTCAGAGCACTTTGGATTGTTGAATAAGTGTAAGATTATTCCAGCCCACAGAGTATAAGAATTACGTTTTCTAAGAAAGCTAACAAAACTATACCCAAAATTTTATTAGTTAAGTTGATTACAGGTAACCTAGTTTAGTTCTATTATTGGGTGGATCCCCCCACCCCGCTACCCAGGAATGCCTCATGAACATTTAAAGGGCATAGTATAATGGCTAAAACAACTTAAATCTCTATTTTGGGGGTGGGGGGGGGAACTAGAAGCACGTTTAATTTTTTTAGAATGCAGGTAATTGGAGAAGATGTTGGGCTTATTTTGCTGTTGCAGATTGATGCACCATTGATTCTTGATAACACGTTGACTCAAGGAAAGTAAAATCTAGGATTTGTAAAAGCATGACACAAGCAGTCACACATAGATATGAATATGCATGTTGTATATGTTTGGGGGCATTATATACAGATTTTAAAGTGATTTCTGGTATCCAGAAAGGATTAGGATTAGGAAAGTCTCTGAACTTTCGTAGTGTCAATAAACATTTATCTCCACTGTTTTGTTTTTGCTTTTTGTTTCGTTTCCCTAACCGTTCAGCTTAAAACTGGCCCTCCAAAAATGAATCTTAGCAAGTTTATAGTGATCCATCCCCGTTTTCAGATATACCATCCTCAGGTTCTACAGAGCCAGCATTGTCTCAAAGCGAACTTGATGCTTTTGACCTTGGGCTTCCCAAGATAAATATTCTGACGGAGGGATATGTGGACTGGATTTTCACAAGCCTGCGAGGTGTTTACAAGCCTCGAGGGCTTTGGGTGTAAATGGCTGGGTCATGCTCTAGCTAAGGAGATATCGGAGAGAGGGAGTGCTGCACAAGACCCAGATGATAGCGGTTTCAAATACTGGTTTAGTCTGCGGCGAGCGCAGGTCCCCTCACCCGGCACCTCCGGGTCAGCCCAGGAGGGTTCTTTCATTCCGCGCGCCAACTGATTCCGGGTCGCGGCGGACGTCGCTTCCGGAGCAGCATGGCGGCCACTGAGGACGAGAGGCTAGCAGGGAGCGGTGAGGGGGAGCGGCTGGATTTCTTGCGGGATCGGCATGTGCGATTTTTCCAGCGCTGCCTCCAGGTTTTGCCGGAGCGCTATTCTTCGCTCGAGACAAGCAGGTAACTGGTGGCACAGTCAGCCAGGCTGGCACAAGGCCCGGGCCCCAGCGGAAAGGCGCGGCGGAGTTGGACCGCAAACTGGGCGCCCGAAGGGGACTGCGCCGCCGCCCACCTGGCACTGACTGGTTTCAAGCGGGCTTGAGGTTACTCTCACTCCCCCGCCGTACGGTGGGAAGGTCTGGAAGGCTGTACATCCAGGGCTGTAGAATCTCCAGTTTCCGCCGTTTTCACTTCTCATTATTTTCTGGCAACTCTGAGCTTCTTTTTTACTCCTTCCCATAGCCTGTCGCTTTGCCTCATTACTTCCGAATGTGAAAGGAAAAGGACAAAGTTTGTCGTCGTATTTTTAGGTGAATACTCCTATGCATCTCTGTCCTCTGTAAAGTCATTAACTCTTAATAGAGTGTCTGTATGGTGTTTTATATGTAGGAGCGGCAGAGAACCTCTAAGGTCTTAGAAACTTCATGGGAACTATAAATCCAATGGTAGGCGAAAGAGGTGCGGTGTTGCGTGAAGCAGCCTGTTCAAAGTATTGCAATAGCTGAAGAGTGTGATGCGGCAGAGGCTAAGCGACTTCATTTACAGTAGAAGCCGGGGATGAGAAGAAAGGAGAAGGCGATTTTTGCTCCGCAATGCTGTGTTTTGAAGTGAGGCTCAAAAGCTGCTTGAGACTGGATGGGAGGAAAGAGCAGATTGTTTTTGCTGTGGTCTCTCCCCACGTTTTCTAAATTCTGAGTTACTGGTGTATTTTGAACACTATATGACTGGATCAGTTTGGGGAGCTTTGCAGATTACTTCTGCACACTTGGTCAAGAACTATATTATGGTAGGTGCTAGAGTACAGCTGAACAAGACAGGCATTTGTATAGATTTCTGTGCTATATGTTAGTGTAGGGTTCATAAGAGTATATAGACAGGCATGTACATAATCCAGATTTCTTTAGAGAGGCCTTCCTTAAACACCCTTCCCAAAGGGACCACTTCCAAGACCACCTTAAACATTATGTATTTATTGGTTTATTTGTTTAATATCTTTCTATTACACTGGATTATAAACTTCACAAAGGTAACATTTTTGTCTATCTTGTTTACCTCTATACTTAGGACTGGGCTGCCCTGTCCAATCTGGTGGCCACTAGCCACATTTGGCTATTTCGATTTGAATTAATTAAATAAAATTAAAAATTAAGTTATTCTGTTTGCAGTAGCCACCACCCTTCAAGTGCTCAGTTGCCATATTGGCCAGTGGCAGTTGTTTCTATTTCAACATTTGCAACATCTTAGTTTGCACTAGGTCCTTAAATAGTACCTGGTATATGAGAAGCACTAAGAAATATTTGTTGAATAATGTGACCTGAGCCCTGAAGGATGAACAGATTCTTACAAAAGAGTGAAACGTGTGTATTCCTTCCTTCTCCCATAGTTGTTGATAGATTAGCAGAGCCCATACCTTCACTGAATGATTCAGATTTCCATACCGAAAGATTATGATTGTAGTGATATGAGATGTTTTAAAATGTTGATAAATCATTTATATCTTAATGGGGATTAATTTTATGTGATTCAAAGCGTTTGTATAAAAAGTCTTCCATCCTGTTTTTGTTATTGATACATAATATGCACATTTATCATATACATACACTGTTTGGATACATGCAGTGTATAAGTCTTGTGAGCTGATTAAATTGTGATTGTTAAACAGTTGAACTTTGCTTGCAGCTATCACTGTAAGTCTGTGATTGCATTTTCAAAGTGCGAATGTGTTTGGCCTGTTCTATAATTCCAGCTTGGACAAATCCATATAGAATAAATGTACTTTGGCATTAAACTGTGTAATTCCGTTCACAGCATAAGTAAAACAGCACAAATTTCTGACTTATTTAACTTCAGTATAAGCATAGGGTCGACACCAAGTGTTACATATTAGGTAACAGATATATAACACCTTAGTGCATTGGTTAAGCAATATTATATCTTTTTTGTCTAATGTTCGTCACATGAATAGAATTTTTACGTCATTTTGGTTTTCTTATAGCCCACATAACTGCATTTAAGATAACTGCATATATCGGTTTCTGTAGTGTTTTTTAAGTTTTTCTCTTTCCTAACTCACAGACTTTATTTTCTTTAGCACTAAGTTCTTCTGTGGTGCATGTGATTCATAACTGACTTTAAAATGCTTGTGAAGAAACTCCAACCTTTTCAGCAAAGGTGACTGGTCACAAAGTTTCTGCTGATTTTTAAGACAAAACAATACATTGGGCAAGCCACAAGTCTTACCTAGTTAATTTCCACAGTCATTCATGGAGTGCCTCCCCGTGTGTCTAGGTACAGGGATACAGTGTTAAACCAATGATTCAAGTGTTCCTCTGTTCATTTGTTTTTACCAATAGGTATGAAAAAGCTGACTTTTGAGAAGGCTAATATTAGACTGGATATTTAGACACTTATTTTCTGATTCACCATTTCGGCAAAATTACTCTTATTTTCCTGTTTCTTTTAGCCTGACCAATAGGAATAATTTTTACTTTTCTAGTGACGATAACTTTATGAAAATAAAAAGTGTATTGTCTGTTGTTTCATCAGAGATTTTTCTTTTATATTGACTTCTTAAAATCATAGTTACTAGTTTAGAACTCAAGTGAATATTATATCTTGCATTGGGAGCTTTATCAATCACCAGGTTTCTTTTATAAGTAGTTTAGGGAGTTTAGTGTGGTTTATGAGTTATTGTTGCCATATGTATTTGGGTAATAGGAATTAGAGTAGTCCTTTTTATTAAGGAACAAATTAGTGACAATTTTCTGTTATTTTTACAGTCAGCTGTTCTAGAAGAAGGGTTTAAGCAGTTACCTTTTATTTCACAAGGCATTTACAATCTAGTTAGTCTTCGTATTCTCATGTCCCTCTATTTTCCCCTATGTATCCTGTGTTGTAACCGCTCTGCTGCCTCCCATTCTGCAACTACTTTGTTCTTTCATTTCCTCGCTTTTTTTTTTTTTTTTTTTGAGACAGAGTCTCACTCTGTCGCCAGGCTGGAGTGCAGTGGTGCCGTCTCTCCTTACTGCAACCTCCGCCTCCTGGGACAAGTGATTCTCCTGCCTGATCAGCCTCCCAAGTAGCTGGGACTACAGGTGTGTGCCACCACGCTCAGCTAATTTTTTTTATTTTGAGTGGAGACGGGGTTTCACCATGTTGGCCAGGATGGTCTGGGTCTCTTGACCTTGTGATCCATCCGCCGCAGTCTCCCAAAGTGCTGGGATTACAGGCATGAGCCACCGCGCCCGTTGTCTTAAATATATCACAGTCTAGCAGTACATCTTTGAAAGTGTAGTGGTCGGAGACTCTAAGTAATGACTTGTATGTACTTATAAAAATGCACATACCTGGGCCCCTTCCCAGACCTTCACTGGATTCTGTATGGGCCTTGGGAGTCTGCATTATAACAAGCATCTCAGGTGGTTCTAATGCAGGCTAAAGTTAGAGACTGTTTGCCTTATAGTAGAAACAAATACGCAGTTATTACAGCAGTGATTCCCAACTCTAATGGGCATGTGAATCACTTGGGGATCTTGTTAAAATGCAGATTCTGATTGCATAAGCCTGCGTCATTGCATTTTTAGATGAATACTCCTGTGCATCCCTGTCCTCTGTAAAGTTATTGACTTTTAATGGAGTGTCTGTATGGTGTTTTATGTGTAGGAGCAGCAGAGAACCTCTAAGGTCTTAGAAATTTACTTTATGGGAACTATAAATCTAATGGTAGGCAAAAGAGGTGCAGTGTTGCATGAAGCAGTCTGTTAAAGTATATTGCAGTAGCCGAGGAATGTGATGCTGAATGTGAGCTGAAGATGCTGCATTTCTGACAAGTGCCCAGATGATTCTGATATGGCTAATCCCCTGACTACACAAAATGATTGTGATATTCTGAGGGCATTCTGAAAGTACCTAAGTAGCTCAGCCTGAAGAGAGACAGGGACTAGAGAAGGCTTCTTGGAAGAAGTAACCGCAAAGCTAAATCTTAAAGAATGTGTTCCAGTGTTCTGTTGTTGTTGTTGCAAATGGACAATAAGAAGAATAAAGCTGGAGAAGTGAGTGTTGAGCAGAAAACTTCACTTAGTTCTCTAGTAGTGGTTCAAAATGTAAAGGGATGTGGTAGGAATGTAATCTAAAGAGGTAGGCATGCATCAGATCATGGAAAACTTTGTGTGCTTATCTAGAAACATGAGTTGGATATCATGTAAGTGACAGGAATAGTCGTTTGTATAGCCATATATCACATGGTACAGGACCAGAACCAAGGAGACTGATGAGGCCACTGATGTGGTAGTCCAGGAGAGAGATGCTGAGGCAGTGAAGTAGGGCTAGAGAAGAGGGGATGAAGAAGAAGGAGGAGTCCCAGGATTCTTGAATTGGAACTGCCATCTGGTCTGGAGAATAAAAGGCAAAAGGAGCCAGTTGAGAAAGGAAGAAGATGATTTCTATAATAGCACTTAACATGTAACCTCCTTAAGGTTAGGAAGCTTTATTCATTTTTGTCGTGACATCTAATCTCTAGTAGGTGTTCAGTAGATGTTTCTTACTGAAAAATTATGGTAGTACAAAAACTATTTTACAAGTTAAATAATTTCACAGATATGTGACTGTACTTAAAAGTATTTACCAGATGAATCAGCCATTGAAAAACAATTGTAAATGAAGAATAATGCTTCAAATTCCAGAATTCGTGCAGTCTTTCAGTCATTTGTTTCAAAGTATTATGGCAGCATCTATGTGCTAGTATTTTAACTTCATGATTAAGTCTAATATATCCTCTAAGGCTCTCTCTTCACTGACATGGTTATCAATTTTTTTTGTGTTATTTCTTAATGTAGATGCTTGTTTATAATTTTAGAACTCTGCAATATGATGTAGCCATAGGCCCATCTGGTATCTAGGCATGAATGTAGTCCATTGTTTAAGACACTTGGAGAGACTGGGAAAGGAAGGGGTTGCACCAGAAAGGGTCAGGACAAGCGATCCAAAGTTTGGGAATCTAGTCAACTGTCATAAACTAGTGTTTTCAATATATTCCTTAAATCAGTATGACTAAGTTCTTTTTTTCACTATCCAGACTATCAACTGTTTTTCATTCTTTTTTTTTTTTTTTTTGTGACGGTGTTTCGCTGTTGTTGCCCAGGCTGGTGTGCGATGACACGATCTCAGCTCACTGCAACCTCAACTCACTGTAACAGTTCAAGTGAGTCTTCCACCTCAGCCTCCCTAGTAGTTGAGATTACAGGCACCCGCCACCACGCCTCGCTGACTTTTTGTTTTTTTAGTGGAGATGGAGTTTCACCATGTTGGCCAAGCTTGTCTAGAATTCCTGACCTCAGTTGATCCGCCCACCTTGACCTCCCAAAGTGCTGGGATTACAGGAGTGAGCCACTGCACCCAGCTTTCTTGTTGTTCTTATTTTATCTTTGGGGTATATGTGTTCTTAAGCCTGGAATATTTGACATCTTTTGGAGACACTTAGGTTAACCCTCTTGTCTGTGAATTGATTCTTTGGTAAAGCGACTTGATTGGGGGTTGGGGGATGTTAGTTTTTCATCCTTGTAAGATAAACTTCTTATACATATTGTTCAGAGTGGTAGAAGAGGGGTGAACAGAAAGATATTGCTTGCTTATTTCTACTTCTCAGGCTGCAGACTCAGATTGAGTTCTAGGGAAAAGAAGAAAGAAAGAGAATAAACAGATATTTCTGAAAGAAGTAATAAAGTAAAAATAACTTCACTGGCTTGATTTTAGGTGCATGTGTTCGCACAGTTACCCCTCTATACACCTGTGCTGAGTCAGGTTGCCCAGCAGTTTATTACCAAGTAGAAGTCATCTAGGAACCATAAAACCCTACATTATATTATTTCTCTCAGAGGCCCATAGCCCAAAATTCCTTTGTGTTTTTTATGGCTTGTTTTAATTCTCTTTCTTTCAGTTTTAGGACTACTTGAGAATTCTGGTGTGATCGAAAGGGGAATGGTTTCCCAGACTATTTTAAAGGGAGGCCAGATATTTGCCCCAAAGTGACTTATTGGTTCTTTCTGCCAAGAATTTCTGATGGGACCTCTCTTTATAAACATAAGCCATTCACCATAACTCTGTTAATCTCATAAACCTTATGGTCTCAACCTAAGTCTTCATCTATGAGTTGAAAATGCTGGACTTTCAGGAGCCTGTAATAATTAAGTATGCAAGATTTTAAAATACCATCACATGGCTGATTTTTTGTATTTGGTACTTACATATAAATAGTGCGTTCATATCCAGGAGCAAGTAACATGACAAATAGATCATTCAGATAACATATACAGATAAGAGTGACTTTAAAGCAGGTTTTCTCAACCTCAGCACTATTGACATTTTAGATGAGATAATTCTTGGTTGTATGATGGGCCTGTCCTGTGTGTTGTAGACATTTAGCAGCAGCCCTGGCTTTTACCCACTTGACGCCAGTAACTCCCTTCTCCACTGTGACAACCAAGAATGTTTGATTCTGATGTGTTAACGTTAGGGGCAGTGTTCCCAGTAGAGAACCACTGTTCTAGAACAGTGCTTCTGAAACCTGCCTGCACATTAAAATTACCGGGGAAATTAAACACAAAAACAAACCCAAAGGGCCCAGACCCCACCTTACACCCATAGATTTGATTGTGAAGTAGAACCTTGATCTCTATGTTATGTTTGTAGTGTTTTGGTCGTTTTTAAGCAGATTCTAATGAGCAGCCAGGTTTGAGAAGCACCCCTGCGGAGAACACCATTTTGGGACCTAGACTTCTTGAGTAGTTTTGATTGTCCAGTGTTGAAATTTCAGGTAAATTACTTGAGTTTTTTGGATTTTATTTTCTTCAGTTAGAAAATTAAAGAGATGGACTAGATCATTTCTGAATTTGTTAATTTAGAAAAAAATCCCACCTTGTTTTTATAGCCTTTTGCATAAATTCTCTAACTACATCGCTTTTACTGACAGGGAGATCTTTGTTTTATCCACTATCCGACCTCAAGTCCTTCATGTTTTCCTCCACTTTTGTCTCTGTCTTCTTTTTGTCCTTTTCCTTAATAACGCTTTAATAAACTACATTAGTAGATGCTAATTGTACCTGACTATAAAGATAATCATTCACTTTATATGTTACATCAAAACCAAAAACCCTGTTAGAGCTCTCCAGGAGGGTTAGATATAGTATTGCAGAGCCTTTATTAGTTCAGTAAATATTTGAGTGCATACAAACAAAGTGGACCTTATCTCATGAGACATAATTACCACCAAGGGCAGTGATTTTCAAACTTTGTTGCTATTATGTAGAGGTTTTTCCCCATGTCTAAAGTATCATTGTGTTTGGAGAAGCACATTCCTCTGGGGAAAATGGTTACAACCGAGAGTCTATAGAAAAGGTCTATAGTGTTATAGAGTGTAATTAGATCCTAAAGTCATTGTTACTCCTGTCCCTCCAAATTATGGCAGACCAATGATAATGGCTTCCATTTATTGAGTGCTTATTGTGAGCAGGTAAGCACAATAACTGTATAAAGTATAGTAATGATTAAAATAATTATCAGAAGCTGATTAGAAAAATTTAGGTATCCTGCCCAGAGTCATGTGGTCAGTCTAGTGAAATTGGCCAACTTGGAATTTGAACCCAGGTCATTTGACTGCAGAGTATGAGCTTTGAACTACTGTGCGACACTGCTTTCCACATAAAGGAGTTCCACTGCCCTTAATATAATCCTGATCTTACCTAGATAAATTACCTTTCTAATTCAGATAGATCTCAGTGTGTTGTTAGGATTAAACTGAGATAATATATGAGAAATGTCCCAGCTCTTTGACTAATACATAGTAATAGTCTCTCAATAATATATTTCCCAAATATTTATTGTTCTTAAGTGTACCCAAATCTCTTTAGTTTTAGTTTTCGTCCTTAAGCTTTGGTTGGAATTAAATTACTTTCTGATATCTCCTCCTGTTATCTGATGGTTGCTAGTCTTTTTCCACCAGGGATCAGAGAGATAATTATGCCCTAAAAAAAAAAAAAAGAAAGAAAGAAATCACTATTTTCTCATTTCTCCTAAAGTTGGTACAGATTAAACATCCCTAATCGAAAACTCTGAGAGGCTCCAAAATCAGAAATGATTTGAGCAATGACATGATGCTACAAGTGAAAAATTCCACACATAAGTACTGAACACAAACTTTGTTTCATGCACAAAATTATTAAACTATTATATAAAATAAGCTTCATGTGTGTAAGATGTATATGAAATTTAAATGAATTTCATATTTAGACTTGGGTCCTGTCCCAGTGGGATATCATCTCATTATGTATATGCAAATATTCTAAAATTTAAAAAAATCTGAAAATCTGAAACAGTTCTGGTCCCAAGCAATTCAGATAAGGGATACTCAACCTGTAGTACTGTCCTGTCTATCTATAGATAATACTATTCTAGATGCATAGGAGAGAAGTAAATTTGTTACATACAGTGGATACCTCAGGGCATTAAGGCTTCATTCTTTCTTAAAATCTTCATTGAAAAGGTTACAGAATGCATCAGGTAGCTCTGCTGTAAAATTTTAGACCAGATAATTTGAAATATTAATTTATTACTATTAGTCATATGAATTGTTAGATTATGGAAGTGATATAACAGTACTCAAGCTATACTAGAGACTGCTTCTCAACATGAAAAGAATTATATATAACAGATTCTTTGTGTTCAGAGCAATCAGTAAGATACTGATTTTTATATGAAAGCACAGGTTTAGATTTCCAATTTATAGTGTACAGTCTTAGAGGGGGAAGGTTTTGCTCTATAGTTTTTCATTCCACCAAAGAGTGCTCCTCTCTGGGAAAATAGACTGTAAGTACATTTGTATTTTTTTTAAATGTTTCGTATTTCTCAAAACTTATTATAAATCTTTTCCCAAGGAGTCATATTATTTGTTAAGAGCTTTGAATTAAGATACTGTTCTCATATTCCTCCAGAATTTAATATAAGCTATAAGTATAATTGATCTTGACAAATTAGTGAAAATTGACATTTTCATATATTTCTAAGCCCTGTACTATTTGTACTGATTAGTTGTAGAGAATCCTTTTTTAAATCTACTTTAGCCTTCAGTTTGCTGATATTCTGGCTTTAGTGGGTCATGTTTGTGTCAGTGGGGTAGGACTGGTTTCTTAACTCCCAAATGTCCCCTTTTGAAAAATTGAAACAAAGGCTTGACTGATAATACTAAGTTACAAGAATATATATATACACACACACATATATATATATATATGCTTTTATAAGGTGGAAGTATTGTTTAAATATTGGAAAATTAGAATGATTTTATTATTTTTCTAGACCAGAAAGACTTCAGACTTAAGTGGTTTGATAGTTAAGATGGAATTTTGCATTTTTTTCTTTTAGGTTGACGATTGCCTTTTTTGCACTCTCCGGGCTGGATATGTTGGATTCCTTAGATGTGGTGAACAAAGATGATATAATAGAGTGGATTTACTCCCTGCAGGTCCTTCCCACAGAAGACAGTGAGTGAGTTTTTAGCATTTTATTTTTAGTGTGACTAGTTGTACCTGACATAACATGCGTTGGACTAGAAAATCTTAGTACTTACTTGTATACTGTTAACATATTTTATTTATCTGTGATTTCCTTGTAATGCAGCATTGCCGTTCTGTTGAAATATAGTACTTAACAAATCTGATCATAATCTCTTAAGAAAACAATTTAGAATTATCTGGAATTTAATAGAGATTCACACTTGTGGCACTGTACTATGCTTTTCCATATTGATGACTGATTGTTGATTATTTATAGTCAGTATTTATTTTTGATTAGTTCTGTGGCATTAACTCTGTTTTTCATTCCCAACAATTCTTGTCTTTTCAGTGAAAAACTCTTTGCCATCAAAAAGTTTTCTTTCAGTTTCCTGGTTGTTTTCCCTCCAGTGTTTCATTAGCATTTTTAATGGTTTCTTAAAGCTCTTATGTATATGCTTCAGTCATTTTTATACTTCATAACACTTTAAAATTTTTTATTAATTAAATGAATTCTCAGAGTTAATAAATTACTTAATCAACTACAAATATGTACGTTTTATAAACTGTATTACTCACTCTGTTAAGCATAAAATATCTAAGATAGATATAACTTATACATGTTATATATTCTAACCTTAAAGACATCAAACAAATAAACTCCTAGAACATCATGCTTTTTTTTTTTTTTGAAGTGGTCACCACTTACCTGTCTTTAAAGAGTTAGCATTTTGTGGTTCACTGGTTGGAGTAATCATATGTAAATCTCATCCAGTGAACTTTGGAGAAATAATAAGCTAAAACTTTACTTAGAAAGAAAGATTTTCTCTATTTTACAGATGATCTTGAACATAGTTTGTGGCTCTTTTATTCTTGAAGTTCATAGTGTCTGTTTTTGTATAATTTTTTAATCTATGCCTGTTTACAAAGTCTTATTAAAAATTGATTAAGCATTTTGAACTAGGTCTATTAGAATTAAATATATAAATACCTAATCACTTTTTTTTACCAGCTCCATGAAAAGCATATATAAGAGTTTGGTCAATAGTTACAGATCTACCATGTTGACGAGTAGGATTTATTGAACTTTCTGCTAAGAGTTTTACTCTTCTAAATCTGTAGAGAAGGGCTGTGATAAGTTGCAAGATATGGTCCTCATTTTCCAGGAGCATGTGGCTGAGGCCACGTCTTAGTCCTGGTCACTTGCAAAATAGAAGTCATTTGTTGTTTTCCCTTTTTTCCAGGATGTTTTTTAATAATTTAAGGGAAAGTCTGGGATTTTTAAACAGTAATTATTAGACTGATGTATGGTAGAATTATTACAGATTGTGCTTGGTATTTTTTTTTTTAATTATAAGTACATGCCCGGTTTTTAAAGAAATGTATCTTCCATGGTACAGATAGGAAATTATATGCACACTATGGCACATAGGAAAGCTCTGTTCTTGCTGAAATATATTTTTATGTTATTTTTTAATTAAAAATTTACTGAAACTCATACTCCTGAAATAAAATAGCTATTGTCTTTATAGAAAAGGATGGACCATAACATTTAATGAGAGAACTCAAGATGTAGGTTATAGATTCCAGACCATTGGTCACTTACTCACCATGCTTCCTACTTTCTGTCTTTTCTTCTGTTTCCCCCGACTTTTAAGGACTATTTGGTGGCTCCATGATTGAGCAATTTTTTGGTCTGTTCTTTAATAAGTGTTTACTTCCTCCCATCATTTTATTAGTGAAATGAGTTTTTTATAACACTATCATCTCTCTGTTGTTCTAAAAAGCTACATACTTCTCATTATTTAATCTTGTGTTGTGAGAGATTTGCTGTTATCTGGAGTTTCATATTATCCGTAATAATTTTGTTTGTTATGTAATCACCAGAATGGCTAAAAATGAAAAAGGTGGAAAATAACAAGTGTTCACAAAAATGTGGCAAACTGGAACTCTCATTCACTGCTAAAGGAGTTTTACACCTGCTTTGAAAACTATTTAGTTAAATTTGCTAAAGCTGAACTTGTGTATGTTCTACGACTCAACAGTTCTAGTGTATACCCAGCAGAAATTAAAACATGTTCCCCAAAAGATATGTTCTAGGATGTTTATAGCAGTATTTTTTATAAGAGCCTAGAACTAGTAATTATACAGACTACCCATCTTCAGTATAATGGATAAAGGATATATTAGCATATTCACACCATGGAAAATGATACAGTAATGGGAATGAACAGTCTACAACTACGTTCAGTTCTTTGAGTGTCACAAACATGTTTTTGAGAGAAAGAAGTACATTCTATATTGTTCCATTTTTACAAAATACAAAAATAGCTAAAACCAGTCTGGGCTTTTGGGGAGTACTAGAAGGAAGTGGGAGAGGCTTCTGGAGTGCTAGTCATGTATTTTTTCTTGAGCTGAGCACTGGTTATACAGGTGAGTTTATTTTGCAAAAGTTCATGGAGCTTTTTAATTATTATAGGAGTACTTTTTTTATGTTTATTACACTTCAGGGAAAGTTTAAACATTTTTTGGAGGTAGAGTTGCAGCTCACCACCCCTTTTGAGACCCATCAGAATTATCTTTCCTAGTAAACTGTCAACTCCATGGACTTCATTGGCTTGAAGCCCGTTGCCAATTTTTTTCTTCAGTCATTACTGCTTGAAAGTTACTTAAAATATTTTTGCTTCCACCTGAATTGCAAACTTCTGGAAGGCAGATGAGTGAATGTGTCTTCTATTTCTTTTCCCTCTCAGTGCTTAAATCATTGTTGTGAATCAGTAGTTGTTAGACTGTTGAATCACCTTCCCCTTCTCCAACTTTTTTCTCTTCCTCTTTTATGTATTTTCTCATTTAGCGTAGGACCTCGTCTGGCTCCTCAAATATTTTCTAATTCGTAAAGCATTTGCAAACTGATAGAATATGCTTTCTGCAACTCATAGGTCTGTATTTGTCCTACTTTGAGATACCATGTAAAATCTAGGCAATTATAATATCTAAAAATGTTAAACAAAACCTGGGGATTATAAAGGAAAAATTTGATAGATTTGACTAAATAAATATTTAAATACTTTATGTAGTAAAAGATAACAAATAAGTGATGAATTTGCAGAAAATTATGGCATGTATAATATTAACATTAACTATTAAGAATTGTTAAAGATTCAGAAGAAAAAGATACATTGTCCTTTAGATAATGACAAAATTTATTGAGTAAGTAGTTAAAAAAAGAAGTACAGATAGTCAATCAATACATAAAAAGATGATTAACCTTACTAGAAATCAGGAAAATTCAATCAAAACAATGTTACATTATTTTTTTTAACCTAACATGTCAGTTTTGCTAAAAGTTGCCAAGAATATGGGGGAGAGAGTACTTTAATATTCTGTTGGTGGAGGTGAAAATTATTACAGCCTTTTGAAGAGCAGTTTAGCAGTATATATATATATATTTGCCCTAACGTATTCTCATGTATGCTGTAATGGGTCGAATAGTGGTCCCATAAAGATATATCCACTCAGAACCTCAGAATTTGACCTTATTTGGAATAGTCTTTGCAGAAGTAATTAAGGATCTTGAGATGAGATCATACTGGATTTAGGGTAAGCCCTAAATTCAATGACTGGTGACCTCATAAGTGAAAGGAGAGGGAGATTTGAGACACAGGGGGAAGGCTGGATGAAGAAAGAGTCAGGAATTAGATTCATCAAGCTAAGGAATGCCAAGAGTCCCACAGCCATCAGAAGCTAGGAGGGAAGCACAAATCGAATCAGATCTTCCCTCAGGGTATCCAGAAAAGCAACACTCCCAACACCTTGACTTTGGACTTTGGACTCCAGAACTGTGAGAGAATAAATTTCTGTTGTTTTGAAACATCAAGTTTGTAGTAATTTGTTGCTGACCTCTGGAAACCAATACATGCGCACAAAAATATATGTAGATTTGGTTTGGGCATTGTTTGTTACAGTAACATATTAGAAGCAAATTAAATGTTCATCAGAAGTGAAAGTTACATAAACTATGGCCCAGTAAAGAATATTATGCAGTAAGTAAGGTAGATCTCTATATATATACTGACATGAAACTGTCTATCATATATATTAGATATGAGTTTTAAATTTCTCTTCAAAGAATCAATATGTCAGTATGTTCAGTTCTTTGCCTCCTACTTTTAAACTTAACTTCCTCATAAAGCAACCTTTTTCCATCACCTGCCCCACCCTGACTCATTCCAATTACCTGCTCCTCCCTGACTCATTCTGATGACCTGCTCCACCCTGACTCATTCTGATCTACCCTGACTCCCGCCAAACCACTCACCCTGTCTCTCTCTTTAAATTAGCCAATTAGAATTAGTTTAGCCTGTTTGGTCTAACTCTAGCCAATAGGGGAACCACACAGCAGCAGGGGTCACGTGCGTCAGGGATAAGAACCCCTTCCCCTCACTTGTCCAAGTGTGCACTCACCGTTGCTCCATCTGTAAGGGTGTACCCTTCTATAGAAGTAAATCGCCTTGCTGAGAAGAAAAAAGAAAATTCTATATTTGAGTGCTATTTCTTTTGTGGCACCGAAAGTTTACTTATAATATATATTATTAAATGATAAATTTAAAACATATACAGAGGTGCTTTAACAATCTATGTATGTAAATGTACAGGAAAAACTCAGAAAGGATACATAGAAAATCTTTGTGGAGGGGGAGGTAGGTGGAAACAGAGGTGGGGGATGGCAAGATAAGATACTTTACTGTTTTTCTATGTATCTGAATTGTTTGAATGTTTGCCATAAGTAAATATGTTTCTGTATTTAAAGCTTTAAACCAGAAAAATACTTAACTTCTCTTCAAAACATACAAAAATAAAAACTAAAAGTTCATAGTTATACATAAATACTGGTATTTTTGCTAATGGAAGAAATAAGGCAGTACATTATTTACTATTTTATAATTTTCAAAGCACTGCCAAATACATAACCAGACAGATTTGTTCTTCAC